GGGGGTAACCTCACAATACTGGCAGCCTCTCTAGAGGGGAGTGGTAATACTAATGCTATGGAAACTGGGACAAGTTCTACTGGATGGGGCAACCACTTGAGCAACAAATACACTACAATTAATACCACAGTCTATAATGAATTCTTGCATATCTCCAACCAAGTTCATAAAATAATGTAACTTCTGGAACCCTGCCTTTCTAAAGGATAGAACACACTTCTCAGTGGAATAGAAACTTTTATCTTTCTCTTTCAATTTTTTCTCTTTTTTCACTTATGAGCAAAATCACATATGATTGTAAATTACCTTGTACATTTTTTTTAACATTTATGGAAAGTTCTACTAACAGAAGAAGCACAATACTTGCCTAAACTTGGTGAAGGTCGGAAAACCAAATATTATATTAAATATTTTCCTCTCATAAAGCCACCTCTTTAATGGCGTAAGTTCCGAATCAAATCCTTTTCTGACCTAAAAGTAAACATTGAAAATCAAGTAATGACCATCAACACATTTTGAAAATGTGAAAGATGATGTAATGCAGTGAATGACCCAGGCACACTCGCAAAAAAATGCACGTTCCCAGTAGGAGTCAAACCTACAACTTTCCAGTTAGCAGTTCAGTTGCTCTACCACTAAGCTATGAGACTTGTGGTAGGCAACGCCATTGAACTAGGTCCATGGTGACAAACGCCTGTATACTGCTAGAAATGTTGATACATGTACATCATGCTTCTACACAAGGATGATGTGAATAAAGAAGGTAAATTCTTGAAGATATTTGGATGTGTGTGCAAGAGGATTCAGAGCAATGGATATAAATTAGTTTGTTATAGCAGTGTATATTTAGTTGATTTGATTTGTGATTTAGGGAAATTGCTCTCTCACCAAATAAAATCTTACAAGTCAAAATAATAAGTTGAAGTAATGACAAAAACAACCATAGAGCTAAGACTGAAAATAAAATGTGATCAGGAAAAAGTAATTATGGAAAAGACTCATAATGGAGAAGACTCCCATGGATTGCATAATTATGAAGAATTTCAAAACAACAAATTCAATTCTTTACGATGTACACGCCACAATATACATGTACCAACTTTAAGGTGTGAATATATATATCTTATTAACCAAGCGCTAGGGCCCTACTGGGAGAATATTGGTCCAAGGTCTTGACAGTACGGACCGAGCGCAGCGAGGTCCATACAAAAAAGACCGAGGGCCGATATTCTTCCAGTACGGTCCCGAGCAAGCTTGGTTAATAAGAGATTTATTATACGACTGAAGTTCAAAGGGATACAAGTGTGGTATCATTTGGGACTGAGAGAATATTGACCATCAATAGAGCATTTTGATTGGTTGATTTTAGTTATTGGCCCTCTGACTGCCCGAGTCGTGTAATAATAATCTCTATTGATAAGAATCTACACATGTCCAATAACTAAGAGGTCTAGAATGGAAACAGGCAGTTCACTTATTAGTTCTTCCTTAGGATTGAGCAATATTTGTTCAGCATGCAATTCATAAGACAGTGACTTTTTAATTACAGCCAATGGCTGAGCACCATGCTGTGTTTAATTGCAAAATTACTTCGGTTTATTTATTTGTCTGTACACATGTTATTATATATTGGCAATCAAGCAAGCAAGCAAGTAACAAGCTTAATTCTATAGCTTCTTAGAAAGTTTTAGTTTCCCTCCCACCCAAACCATAGACAGTTTTGATTAGTGTCTCTAATTTATTCCTGATTACTGTACCGTTGTTTTAGTGTATCCATCGAATACCTTTGATGTAATAGTCTAGTGTTTTACCTACATAGGATATATACATTTAATGAACTGTCTAGTCCCAAAAAACGAACCTCTGTCTGTTGTGGTGTTTAGTATCTGTATTATGTGAGTAAATACGCAATTCAGTTAATATTTAACTGCTATGTATTTATGAATATATTAAACTTCAAACTTCAAACTTCAGTAGTGCTCTCAACTACTCACCTGCACATGACTGCTGAGGTTGAATTTTAATCTCATCCATTGGGGGACAGAGGATAAAATTGGCGGGGAAGGCTGTCTGATTTTTAAGCTCATGACTTTATAAGGTTTACCCACCTGTGTAACAGCTGAAGCAGTGACGGTAAAATACTGCGGGTTTGACTGGGCTTCCTGTGACGTCACACAAACCAAGTCATAAGGATTGTACTGTGCAGCTCTCACAGCTCGGTTCTTTGGAAGACAATACACAAATTTCCCATCATCTTCTCGGATGTATAATCGATTGATATTGTTATCATCCTCGTCTGGATCCTCCCCATTGGCAATTGCATCAAGATCTGTGCTCATGTTTAACCTTTGGCGCAGCTTCATAATCACATCTGATACGTCACAGTTGATCAATTCTTCATCACTTAGTATTCCCTGTGAAAGAGACTTTGGTTTATTTCCTTTGAAGTCTGGTTTTAGGCCTCTAGGTGGAGGAGGGTGCAATTTTCCAGAGGAAGCCCGTAATTTGTGAGAGAGAGGTCTATTACTCGCAGTTTTACTTGAGGTCACAGAGTCGGTTTCGTCAACACTCTTAACAAACGATCCAGCTGATGATACCTGGAATGATTAACAGGTAGATTCTCTATTAGTACTGGTTGGCAGAGTCGTCTATTTAAAAGTAACCAAAAACATTTTAAGCTTGCAAAAATGGTCACAGGTAAATTCTCTATTGTTGTATACCCACAATAGTCTTCCACAATTAGCCACAAGCATTTTAATCATAGAACTCCCAAGATCTGATAATTAATTCTCCCGTGTAGCTACTACACATTTCCTTGTTCGTTAGTTAAGAGAATTTTAGTGTTAGATCAAGAAAACAACTTCTACCTACTTTGTGTTTGCTGGATAATGTATGCATATTGTAGGGAGAAACTATAAGTTAATCACTTCTAGGAGTTAAACTGTTAACAAGTAAATTCTCTATATACATTTAGCTTTGTCTACGTCAAGTAACCACAAGCATTTTTACCACACAAACCTGGACTATAAGTACAATTTCTTATAGTATAGCTGCAGAATTACTATACTTTTAGGTATAACCACAAATATTTTTAGCTTCCAAAACTACACACAAAACATCATACATTTTAAAGAACTCTTCTGACCCAGTTGATAGAGTTCCAACTTCTGAATATTAAGAGGAAAATACCTGATCAACCAGTCTTTCGCTGTTAGAAAATTCACTTCTCTGATCCAAATGTAAGTTTTCTGCATCATTAGATGCAGTGTTGTCTTCCTCTAGACTCGAAAAGGCAGCACCATTTGCCACTTTCAAATGCTGTGGATCCAATTTTGTCTCTCGCTTTGGGAGGTTTCCTTGCTCCAGTTCCACTCCTCCTTGCTTAACTGAAACAGTTTCTTTAGGGAAACCCTGATTTCGTTGTACTTGCAATCTGTTGAAATCTCTTCTGAACATAGTGGTTCGATAGTTACCCATCGTCGACCTGGGACCACCCTTTGGAGGTGGATGAGGTGAGCCCTGTTAAAGATTCAAAAGCAAACAAAAATGGTCCCCTCCAAGGTTTTCCAGATGAACTGGCTACTGACAAATTTCTTACTCAATGGAACCTAGATTTAACAAAGTGCCAAGGGACTGGGGAAATTGGTTCGTTATATCAAGGGTTCGTTGAATCAAGATTCTGTGGCATACATTTTACTGTACCTATATAGCCGGGCTGAAACTGAAGTATCGTTTGTTATACCGAAGACTTCATTATATAGAGGTTCATTAAATCAAAGTTCCACTGTACTATAATAATTGAACTTCCCTTTGTGACCACCTCTCATAAGCAATGCTATTTAACAAATGAATCGCTTTTTTCAAATACGAAAAGCTTCTAAGTCAAATCACTATGAATGGAACTTCTCGTAAGCAATCACCTCTCCTAACTATCCACCTTTCACAAATGACCACTCTTAGAGATGCATCTTTACTATTCCCAATTGTTTTTACCATCTCCTAGGTGACTACTTGACAGACAATTAAGGCTTAATCACTCCTGAATGAAAATTGTTTCAACAGATGTCACAAAAGTGGAGCTCCTAAATGTGATTACTATATAGGTTTTGATAAGTATGCTAGCAAAAGGGTGCGCTCACGATACTCAACTTAGGGACCTTACCCAGTTAGGATAGTAGGGACTTTAAGCAAACTACAACGGCAATGGCAACGAGAATGTGGAAAAACAATAGATCTAATTGGCAGAACAATAGCCCAGCACTTGTGTTTTAAAACTTTGTACATTTCTTAGCCGTCCTTTGCAAAACAACGATGTGAAATCACCAAAATTTGCGTCATCTAAGAAGCTAAACCACGGCGGCATATTATTTTAATTCACATTTGGAACTCAATGCTACTTTTATCCGTTATGCTGAGTTTGAGGTCTGGCGCCCTATGAGATGGTAAACACATGCAGCCATTTTCGAAATCCTAACTAAAAGTAGAAACTCGTTTTTTTAATCGACATCTTCCATGGCGTTGCCGTCCTGACTGCTTAAAGTCCCTAGTAACACCAAGGAAGAACATTGATTAAGAAATTAATTTCTATTTTAAATTAGAATTTTGAAAATGGCTGCAGTATTTATACTGTCTCTTATGGCGCCACACCTAAACTTCAGCATAACGTACATAAGTAGCTTTGAGTTCCAAATGGAAATTTAAAAATAATTTGCTGTCGTGGTTTCCATTTGCAGATGATGCCAATTTTGGTGATTTCATATTGTTGTTTTGCAGAGGACAGCTAAGAAATGTAAAAAGTTTTAAAATGTATGTGCTGGCTATTGTTCTGCCCATTAGATCTTTTGTTTTAATTGCCACGTCTTCATGGACATCGTCTTCACGTCATCGTCATGGACAGTTTGCTTAAGGTCCCTATTACCTGCAATATGACCTTTGACCTCTTATCAGCCACGACCTCCTACAAGTGACCACCTCGACTTCACATTTCAGGTGGTTACTTATGGGAGGTTTGACTCGATTTCAAATTTTTTGCCAACCACTTTGGTGGAGATCTTACCCAAAACTTGAACTTACCCAAAACATTCATCATTTGAATTTATTTAATTTATAGTTTATTTGCATTTACACACGACCCCAAAAGCTGTTCAGCTTTAAACATTATCGTGTCTAAATAAAGGTGTTATTATTATTATTATTATTATTATTATTACTATTTAGACAGGTAAAAACGAATGATATAAAATCCCGACGTTTCAGCGACTTCATGACGCCATTATCAAGGGTACAAATGAAAATAAAATTAACAAATGTGAGTACAAGAGTTACAACTAATTTGCATAGGGGAGGTAGCTACACAAATACTTTAGTACGGATAGAATCCGTTTGCATGTTCAAACTCGGTGTTATTTGTTTTATGTAAAGCATCTCGTTGACAAGACAATAAAAGTATTTGTGTAGCTACCTCCCCTATGCAAATTAGTTGTAACTCTTGAACTCGCATTTGTTAATTTTATTTTCATTTGTACCCTTGATAATGGTGTCATGAAGTCGCCCAAACGTCAGGATTTTATATCGTTCGTTTTTACCTGTCTATGTATTACTAAATCTTTGTTAATATTAATTATTATTATTATTATGAGAGAAACATAACATTCAGATTGGCTAAAATTGAATTAAAAAAAAAACCACAACAAGAACATGTACATTTTGAGAAATTTTGGCTGTGATATTTGTTTCTTTGTTCTTTCACCATTCCTATTTTTGCCGCACCACCTTGCATTTACCTGACTTCCTTTAAATAATCATGTCTCCTTAATTAATTCTTTAACCCTTGAAGTGACCAGCATCTTATTTCTCCTCACATGAATACAGCTGAATCATTTGTTATGATCATGAGAATAAAAGAAATGATCCCCAATCCAAAAACCTTTGATAGTTAAACAAAATTCTCCCTGCTAGTATCAAAGGAAATGTATAGAAAAGAGTATGGAGAATAATTCTGGATACTGATGTTAGGGTGTCAACGGTACACGTAAAGTAATTTGGTAATATCAACCAAGTTGAAATTGTAAATTGGCCACCGTAAAGAGTTAAAACGCTGACATTTCGAGCGTTAGCCCTTCATCAGAGCAAATAGTGGAATTGTGGGTTTATATGCAGAAAGTGGAGGTATGCTACTGGTGGGAACATTGCAACAAGAAAACTCTTTATGGTGGCCAATTTACTATTTCAACTTAGTTGATACAACCAAATTAGCTTGTTACCCCCACTGACACAGCACCACAGTTGGAGCAACTTCAGAATACCCATTTTATACCTAAAGTAGTACATTTTTTGCAGCAAGTTATTTCGCGAAGTATTTTTTCCATAAGAACTTATTTCAACAGATCAAGCATAATCTTAAAATCTGACAAAATTCAAACAATTAAAATATTTACGCTATGTGGTCCTCCCAAACATTCAAGGCCCTTCTCACTAACTCATGTGCAGACAACTTTCGCTTGTTGGGAAGTGTAATTATTCCCTCAGCTTTCCCCGCTACAAATCTTTACATTTTGGATGGGACGTATAAACAGACCTCTTTAACCCCTTCGCTCCGACGAAGGGCTAACGCTCGAAACGTCAGCTTTTGTAATCGTTACGGTGGCCAATTTACCATTTCAACTTTGTTGATATATCCAAATTATTTCTTTAACTCCTGAAATAAAGAACCATTAGAATTGCAGCTATTGTTTTTGGCGATGTGTACCATGAAATACCATGGGGCGAATGATCATGAGCGATTTCACAGCGTCCATGTTTCCATGACACCTACACTGTAAGTTTCATGTCATTTGCCAGGATTCACTGACAAGTAGAATTGTTGTTGTCGCTAAAAGCCCAGAAGCGTCCTAAGCAGGAAAAATAATATTTTAGAATAACTCCTCTCCCACCAAACCCTCTGGTAACTTTTTCTCCGTGTTTATCGTAAGCTAATTTTACCTGAGTTGAAGTCTGAACTGAAGATGGCGGAACGGGTCGGTACATTGCTCGAAAAACTTCAGAGTTTTCCGGTCGGTCATAAAGGCGAGACTTCAAGGAATCTATGGCAGCTCTTCCGTCATTGATGGTTCTTTTAACGGGTTGGTTTTGTCGATCTGTAGAGTCATCACGGCGTTCTATTCGAGAGAATCCTGAGTTTCCCACAGAAGAACGAAAGCGAAAATCAACAACAGAATTGTGGGGCACAATTGGATTTGGCTCGTCCGAGTCGTTCTCCATTTTTCTAAGTCATAACGATCCTTATTTTACAATTTGGGAATTTTTTTCTCCTTAAATTCATATTTTCCACGACTTCCACTACAGTTTGTGTTTATCATTGCCGAAGAACTTTTCTGGCTGCAAAAGGCCGTAGTAAAACACCGTTCTAACAAGCTCAGTCATTGGCTTATTCAGAAATCCCGCTCCTTTTTATTAGAGGTAATATCATTGGTCAGGTTTTGAGATAAGGCAATAAATACCTGAGCTTCCAGCATCTAACCACTTTCCTGGCCTGTGCCTTACCCGAAATCTTCTTCTTTTTTTTGCTGTCTTTCACAATTAAAATCGAAGCATGATCACTCTCAACAGACATTTTATCTTACATTTTTGGAAAGAGCCTATGGATTTTTGTTATGGTCAGGTCGGGCAGATGAAAAGAGAGAGTTTTTTAACTTTCTTGTAATTCTGATGGAACTGCAGAAATTTAATCAAATCCCCTTAATCTTGTCACTCTCAAGATCTCATGAGAAATTATCCCCACTGTCTGTCCCTTTGATGAGAACACACAACTGTGCATCTTCAGAAATAGTCCATGTCCACTTTTAATCAGGGAATTTAAAAATTCAAAAATTGAGGGCATAGGTGGGGTTAGAAAATCAAAGAAAAAAATTAAGTTAGTGTAGTTAAATACAATAAAATTAACTGATGCAGCTCTCAAGTAACCATCCCAGAACTGTACATGCACACTGCTAAAAATCTCGCAGCTTTCATTTGATATCTCAAATCCAAGCAATAACATAGCAAAGGTTTCTAAACCTCTTAGTTATTTACAGACAAACTGTCTGCTTCTTGAAAAACATGTTTTTTCATCTTGAGCATGGGAGAAAGAAAAGATTCTGAGTCCCCATGAGAAATCGAACCTCAGACCTTCAGATTCTGCAAAGACATTGCCAGTCTGAGCATTTTCCCCTGATCATCCTAAAAAATCTGTCTATAGAAAGTCATGCTTGTGTCAATCATCAGAATCTGTCAATTAGGATGTGCTTTCAGTCATTTTCCTGCCAAAGAGTCAGCTTCTTTGTATTTCTTTGGAAGTGCCCTGAATTACACACATCTTGATTGGTTCTTACTTTTGATCTACTAGAGGACAGAATCTGACGCAGAGATGACATCACCATTGACAATGTTTTGCTTCTTTATTATCATTATAATATAGAAAAAATAGAATACATGTTACCAGGGTTCTTCAGAAACATGATTGCCTGCGTTTTGAGGGATAATTTAGGGGATTTGACCAAACCACCGCTAGTTCCACTCCAGAATAGTTCATGGAGAATGTAAAAATGTGGTAAGAACATACAACACACAATCAGCTGTGCCTCGTGTGCCACATTTTCACATCATCTGTGATCTCTTAATCCCTAAACAGATCCACAGCATCAAATCTCCTTTTGAAATATTTACATTTAACTTAAAGGTATTTTCTAACTCAAATTTATCACAGTTTAAATTACTTAGCAACAGGACTCTATTTCATCCAATTGTCTCTAATGATAATCTTATCACTTGTATGTTTACTGACCACACTGGGCTCCAATTTGCTCCAGTTTCTCATCTCAGAATATCATTGGAATTGTCGTTCTTTGTATGGACCCAAGTGGAACCTAATGAGGACTAAGTTACAAAGTTTCAAACAGATGCAATTCTTCAATGCATGCAGGATTTAAAACATTTTTCCAGCATATAGAGACAAACGGCCGCCAGAAAGACAGCAAGCGATAACAATCAACTGCTGCATACATTAATGCGATTAACAAAGGCAAATGAAGACACAAGTTAAATTAAACCCATAAAATATTCATAACATTAGCTTAAGCGCAGATAATTTCTCACTTGCTGTGAAAAAAGGCAATATAACTTGCTCAATAGACTTAAAGCCTTAAATAAAAATGAACGAATAATTCATACTTCTGTTGTGAAGCAGACTTCAATTTCAACCTGACGAAATGAAACGGAAAAAATTGCCAAGCTGTTCGCAGGCATGGTAGCAATGGTCGAAATGATCTACTTCCCGTCTTCGGGGAATATATTTTGGTATGATTTGTCGCTTCCAACTGCAAAAATAGGATTTCATCTCTTTTTAAAAGGGCGTTCCGTCCTTGAAATAGATTTTCCGCTTCAAAAAGCTGGAGTTAAAAAGTAGAACGTGCCTAAAGCACAAAGAGAAAGACAGCACAGTTCAATGAGCTTGGCGGCCTGGCAAGGAAAAAGCGAGGTCTGTGTGATGTGAGCCTTGTGATTGGCTAATCTGACAACAAACGTCTATCAGGGATCACATGACCTCAGCAGGCTTGCGAGGCTCGGTAATGGCGACGTGAATCCAGTGTGGCGATATGATTAGTTTTCTTTTTGGCTTGTCGTTGCGATATTTTCCTAAAATTCGAACTTTTACAGGGAGCATACCCTCCCCCAAAAGTCACACTGGCAGTTTTGATGAGTAATAGGAAATATCCGAGGCTAGCGGACGGGTTAGTAGGGGTTTAATTGACAACTTCAGAATCATGCGAGGCCGCCATGTTTTTCATTAATAAACTAGCTGATAGCCGCTATCAAGTCGAGCACAGGGACCACGAATTCCGAGATGATCCCATGCAATACGCCTTGTAAATAACAATAACATTTTTTTTTCTCTCTTAGGTATAATGACCGGAGTCAGTATCATCCATGCCAGGTTTGTATAGAGTTTAATTTTGGAGCATATGAACTGCAATCCAAACATTCGTTGAGTTTGAGATTTGTTTCTCAATAAAGTAACTTCTCCATCACAAGGGTAAAACCTACTTGTGTTAATTTGCTGTCAGGTATGTTTAAGAATCCCAGTTCGAATGTGTTGTGTTTTCAGGCAAGTTCCAAGTTCTCGTCGAAAATCCATTCCAACTGCAATTCGGAGAGTGGTCGAGAGAGGGAGAGATCGCCAATTAGTTCAACGAATAGTCGAGGAGGTTCACCGTACCCCCGTCATTCAAACTTTTCCCCCCGTTCCCATCGATCAAAGCCCTACAGTCGATCACGAGAAGGAAACAAGAGAGGTTGGTATTACGGGCTGCATGCTTGTATTCAGTAGGTGGACTAGCTTTTAGAATCAATGAAATGTGGCACAGGTGAAGGATCATAAAGATAGATATGTTCTAATTTTGTACTGTCTAGGAAGGTGTCTTAAAAGGTAAAAGGGAATTCCTGTGGAGAAATAAATGAAGAAAAACCTTGTAAAACAAGCCCAACTTCATATGTTTTCTCAGCTCGGAACTTAGACAACAAAGTGGAAATCCACTGCAGGTGTTATGAAAACCTGCTAAACCCAATCTCCTGGCATTGTCGTAGTATTTGTACATTAATTCAACCTATTATTCTACGAGTTAAAACGGTTCGAAAGGGTGGGTTTTTAGAAGAATCCTAAGAGAGATGTCCACCTCTTCTAATAAAGTTAAATTGTGTCTTTATTTTAAGTTCTCAAAAGGTGAATCAGATGTCTGCATGAATTGGATTTTACTCCACTTAAACGTCCACTGATTCTTATTTAAGTTGTAGTAAAAGGACTTTCATGAGAGCTGACAGGAGATGATAATGGGACAACAGAATTAAATTTTGTCAGGGCATTTTATACAGAAGTGATGGCTGTAGGAACATCATTAGATTGAGGCCTGGCACATTTTACATATGAGAGCTGTGAACTGTTGTAGGATCTCTATCAAAGCAAAGAAAACTCAAAGCTCAAAAGAGGCAAATGCAAAAGACTTAAGCTTAAACTAATGTTGGTCTTTGCTAAGCAACTGATAATGTGTTTATCCATGCAGTTTAGCAAGTCTTGTTTTTTTTCATTTTCTATTTATTTGAAATTGGAATTCAGCAGCAAAAACAGTCTGTATTGCTACAAAACATTCTGTCAAAAAAGATTTAAGCATTCTGCTTGTTAACCAGAACAGGCAAAGTTCTCTGGTAGCAAATAACTCCTTGTTTGATGTGGAGCAAGAAAATTATATCATGTCCTAACTGTGAAAGAGCAGGCAAGCATCAGAAAGGAATACTAAATTTATAAACATGCAATACCTAATCGAAAGTAAGAGAGAGGTTGCAAAGATAATTTCGAGGGAGGGATGTGGTCAAAGTTTTAATTTGGTTTGGCTTTGTAGGTTTTTCAGTAAGGAAATCGCTTTAGAATCTTTCCATGTGGAGCCCAATAAAGAGGAAATAATGTAGGATAGTAAATAGGTTCTGGTTTTTATTGAGGTGGCAACTGAATTAGCTGGAGAAGCCCAGGACAGTAAACACTTAAATTGCTTGCAACTGGTTCTGTTTGAACCTTTAACTTTTTCTACTCCATTTGAAATTAAAGACTTCCCTAGCCCTGCACTCCCTGTTCTCATCAGTAATTCTCAGTACTATTTGCCCTACAATTCTTATGATGATAATAGTCCAGAGAATTTGGTATTTGATCAACTAATAGTCCCCTAAATTGTCCTTTCCTTTTTTTCATCACTTGTCTGCTTGATGTCATATGGATTCTGTCCCTCACGGGAGGTATGGGATAAAGAATTATCATCCAACATTAACAAAATGTTTTCTAATCAGTAGAGTTCAAAGTCTAAGTTTAATATTTTTTGGCCCTATTTTAGAAACAGTACATTTGGTGTTATTGCTCTGGTGGCATAGGTGACTTACTTTTTTATCTGAATGGATCTGTGCTTGTAAAAACCTGCAAGGTTGTATAACTCAGTTTCCAGTGTAATATTCTTGTGGTTCATTTATGATCACAGCTGTGGAACAGATGACAAGCTAATACAAAATAGCATAAATAAGAATGTCCATCTGTTCTTTAAAACTGCAGTTTTTTGTTCACCAGGTTCTAGCAAGTCTCCAACTGATGCACACAGTCATCATACCCTTCCTAACAGTAACTCGCATGGCAGTGAGCGCCACAGCAAGCCCAACCATGTCAACAGTGACGAGGTGAAATATTTTCTAAAATGTTTAATGTTCTACAGCAGTGAGTTCAAATTTGTGAAAAGAAATACCTCACCAACTACTCATGAAAGATTGGTCGGTTTTTGGAAATAATAGCTGAGAAAAAAAAAAAGACATGAAAAAGGTGGTCTACATTTGTAATTGTCTTGTGCTGGCCACATCTACTCAGTCCTCGACTACTCTGTATCTTTGGCCACCCTGAGGGTGTGTTTCCTAGAATAAAGAATGTGTGTAGGTTTTTGTTTCTTTATCTTTGACACACAGTTGTCCAAGCCCCTAATAATTTGAATTCCTTTTGAATGAGAACAAAATTGATTTCAATACTTCGGAGTAGAATTTGCTCAAAATGTCCTGTCATGTTGTGACATGGTATTTGTCTTTTGAACCCTATTTGAATAAAACATTCTGTTTCAATTTTTTGTTTGTGTGTCACTGAGAGATGAAATATCTTTTTATTGTTCATGCCTGACTCTAATGTTTTCAAAAGTTGCCCTACAAACTACGACATAACAAATGCAATATCACAAAATCTAAAATTAAGAAAGTCGAACACCTTCTCAAGTGTAAGGTGTACTTCTCTTTTGTTTTGCAGACTTTTGTTTGGTCTCAGCACACCAGTTCTTCAGGGAAGGTTTACTATTACAACTGTAAAACAGAAAAGTCCCAATGGGAAAAGCCAAAAGAATGGCTTGAACGGTACTAGAAGCTTTGATAAAATCTTCTCTTAATTTTTTTTTTTTTTCCTTTTTTTTTTAATAACAAAGCAAAACCATCTGGTCTTGTTTTAGCATTAGGGACCTTAGGCAGTCAGAATGGCCTCACCAAGGAAAAAGGCTATCAAGAAATGAATTTATATTTTTAATAAGAATTTTGTGAATTCCTGGATGTGTTTATCATCTATAGGGATTCCAGACCTCAACTTCAGAAAAATAAATAAATGTTGAGTTTCAAAGACAAAAAGTTGGCAATCTACCATTGAGGTTCATCCTCTGACCATGCAAATTTTGGTGAATTTTATGTCATTGTTTTGCACAGGACAGGTAGGAAATGCAGAGCTCTTGTTCTGCTCATTAAGTCTTTGGCTCAACCACATTCTCTTTGCTGTCATCTTTGTGCCTAAGGTCCCACAAAGAGTGCCGTAATCCTATCTGTATGGTCACAGTTTGTAGAGGTCATAGAATTTGGGTATATTGCAAAAAATACCTTTCACAAGAAATATAGTGGTTGTGCTTTAGCTAAATTTTTGCTACACCAGTTGTTACGGGAATATACACAAACCCATCCACAGGGCTCATTGGTAAAAAATAGTAGATGTCATTGTTGCATCAGACACCTGTAAAGTTCTGTCAGTGTGGTCAAACCTTCAGTAACAAAACATGTCAAAAATTGCATGCTCATTGCCTCCCAAAAGCCGTTATTTTGAACCTTCCTCGACTATCTATCTCCACAAGTGACCAAAACAGAATTTCTCCTTACAATATCAATTCAATATCAAGCAGAAAAGTGATGAGAATAAAGAAAAAGATCAATTAGGGGATTATAAGTTGATCAATACCGAACTCTTCAAACTGACATTATAAGATTAAGATCACCGATCACTTCACGTGCACCTCCGCCAATGTAATCTATATCATAACTTGCACTTATTGCAAAAAGATATACATCGGCGAAACAGGCAGAAGACTACCACCAATAACGTAGCTCCATTTTCTGCCTTTAAAAGCACACACAACCCACAATTCCTCTATTCGCTCCGACGAAGGGTAACGCTTGAAACGTCGGCTTTTGTAATCATTACGGTGGCCAATTTACCATTTCAACTTTGTTGATATATCTAAATTATGACATAAGAACTGTGTGGTAGACGGTAAGGAGAATTAGTGTTGAGATCTTGGGGAGTGGAAGGGTTAAGAAATGTAAGAACTGCTGACTAGTGCAATGTAACAAGAAAAAAATTTCTCTGTGTTTAAATAAAATATAGTTAAGCCCATCAAAATTAAGCAGAGGAATTTTGCCTAGTGCCTGAATAATTATTTAATTTTCTGATGCTTAATGCACACATCTGATTTTAGGTATTATTTGAGTGAAATATCATTTTTGTTCATACAGAGAAAGAAGAGAGAAAGAGAGGAAAGACAGAGAAAAAAGAGATTTTGTGGCAGCCAAAGATGGACGGGAAAACCGAGAGCATCTGGCTTCCTCCAAACCCAGCAAATGTGAGTTATCTTCAGTTAAATTACATGCTTCAACTCTCACAAGTGTTCACCAGTAACTTTTCCCTCCTTTCCTTATCAATATCGTATTCAGCAAAAAGGCAATAAAAATTGACAGAATTATTCTGCAAAAGATACTATTTAATACAATAACAAGTTGGTTTCACTTCAAATCACATCAAGAGGGAAGAATTACTGCTTGAGCTTGAATCTTGTGAGGGGAAGGGTTCTTTGGTATTTTATATTGAAATACCCTAATATCTCAAAAACACTCCTCTGCAGGCTTCAGAGACCCCCAAAAATTAATCTCCAACAAAGAAAGCTTTTGACATGGTCTCACATACTGTCAGTCGCCATCTTAAATTAATTAAGCACCTGTAGTTCCCCATGAGAGCTCACCAGATATCATTTTGACTTCCATGGTTTACTTTAACCAAAAGCTGTTTAATTAGAAATGGGGTTGCTTATTAGAGTGGGTTAGACTGACTACTTCAGAAAAGCTGGAGTTTGTGGACTCATTTATATCTTGCAATTCTTTCAGACATTTCCCCTTCAAAGAATATTCATCGAGATCATCATAGCTCAAGTGATAAGCGAGATGGAAACCATACAGAGAGTAGGAACATGTCCACTGAGCAGAAAAAAGAAATCCAGCAGAGACTGTTGGGAACAACTGACAGAGGATCTCCGGTTGTCAAAACTTCTTGTGTACACACAACTGCTCTTCCAACAGTTGTCTATAGGTGAGTGGATATAACATTGTTAATTGTACTAAAAGTGCTTTTGCTTGATTTTTCCTTTTTGCCCAGATATTTTTTAGGCCTCTGTGCCCATCTCACACATGTTAGATTTTTGTGTCACGTTCACCAAATAAGGAGATTACTCTCCAGGCAATCATTATCATTGACAAGAGCTTGTGTTAGTAATTAAATTGGTCATAATAAATTTTTTAATAATTTTTTAAAGAATAAGTTGTTCATAATACCTCATGGCCAGTTTTAGGCCCTTTTTTTGTAAAGGGATTGATTATCCAGATTGTTGTTACTTACCTATAATCCACTCTAGTCTATAAGTTAACACCCTCTTAGAATCCTTCTTTCTCAAACTCATTGATAATTCATAAAGTCAACTACAAATCACTGCATATATACCACATCATGTACATGTGTTTGGATACCCAATGAAAAACTAGATGAAAATCTTTAGAGATTTGGATACAATATCCAAATGTCCACTGATTCTCGGAAAATCATATGACATCAATAAAATAATTTTAAGTAAATGGCATCTCAAGCAAACAACAAAATTTTATTTCCTTCAAAGATTGTAATAAAATAGTTGGGAATTTCACATGTTATCGCAGTTTGTAGAATTTATGACGAGTTTAACAATACATATATCAAAGGTTACTCCCTCAAATACTTAACTGACATAATCTGTATCGCCCATTTGTTCTTGTAAACTGTAGATTTTGGAAAAGAATTGATAATAGACGCGTTTTCCTCTTCAGAAGTTTTGGGTATCCGAAAGCTTGAACTTGACTCGTCCATCTTGCACAGTAAACTGAATTGATAAACTGTAATAAGTTGGGTAACTCCCAAATGGAACATTCCAACGAAACCAATTTTATCACATTCTCTAGCTATTGTTAACAAACAATAATCAGCAACTCGTTTCAGAAGCTATACCAAAAACTCTTGCTTCTTGTTTCATCGGGGGTTACGAACACCTTGAAACAATAAAAGCACTCAGCCTGCGGCCTCATGCTTTCATCTGTTTCTCGGTGTTTGGAACCCCTGATGAGACACTCGCACTAATTTTTGATATATTACATAAAGGTTCCTAAGCATGCTAATTTTTTCTCTCTTTTTATTAGACCTTCTCCTACTGTGGCTAATATGGGAGGAGAATCTGCTGGTAAGGTTTTGTTGCTTAATTTAAGGACAGATGAACCCTAAAAATTGTTATCTTTTTGTTTATTATATCTCCTTTTAAATTGCAGTTTCACCCACTGGAAGCTTACAAGATGTTTCTCCTCCAACCACTCCTTCTTCACGCTCCAACATGTATGAGCCATCCTCACACACTCCTTCGCCAAATATAGTCACAGCGGTTTCACCTCAAGTTGCTCAGCAGCATGGAGTACCTTCTCCTCAATTCTCAACCCGGCATTCGGCAATGCCCTTAGCACCAAATGTATTCCCCCAAGCACCTGCAGTTACAGGTGCTCCAAGAGCAGTGCCACAGCAGTACCAGTATCCTGTAGGGCATCCTCATATTCAGAATGACTATAGACAGCAGTATGTGAATAGCAACAGTGCACCACCTTGGCTTCAAGTTAATAATGCGGCATTACCTCTCCCGGCAACACACGTCCCCTCACCCCAGCAACCAGTGATGTTTAACCAACAGATTTCTTCGCAGACAGCCCTTCATCCACTACAGCAAGCCACACTAGTGCTCCAACAAAGAAAGATGTCAGAGGTTTGTGTAAATGATTTTTGGAGTTGAAATGATGAAATTTTACCAGATTATCACTGAAATTTTCCAATGGTGCTACTTTTTTTTTTTTTAACATGAATTCCATCATCTAAGTCATGTCTTTGACAACCCTACATCAATCATAGGCATCAGGGATGTAGCTCAAGTTTTAACAGGNGTTATGAAACGTATATGTGCACGATCCTTCACAGTAAAGCACTATTAGTGCTTTACTGCAAAGGATCGTGCACATATACGTTTCATAACTGCAGTTCATATATATGTATTTCATATGTTTGTTGTTTAAAATGGACTATGCGATGTGAATGGATGTGAATGATGTGATCGTCGCTCTAAATGGTGTGCTTACAATCCTTTCAGTTCAGGAAAGACAGCAATGAAGGTGTAAACAAACAAAATAAATAAATAACAATCTTCTGACAACATTTAAAAACATTTTGGAGGAAGAAGTAGTGCTTTACAGCTGGAAAAGTCATGTTCACAGCTGGGTAATTTTCCCGGCTTCTGCCTATTATCTACATCCCTGGCATTATTGAAGAATTCTTTGTATTAAACAAACCCCATCACTTGGTAACAGTTGTCAGAGTCTAATGATGAAAGAAGCACAATGCAATTTTCAGGTTGTGGAGGAGAAAGTGAAAATGCTAGTCTATCATTTGTGTCCTGTATTATTCAAGCAGACTTCAGTGACAATTCAACAGCACCTATCTTTCCTCCTTTGTGGAGATGGCCATCATGAGAGTAAAGTGTCTTGCCTGGGGACAAGACACAATGACCTAGCCAGCATTCAAACAAAGACCTCATGATCTGGCTTTTAACACACAAACCATAAGGCTACACATCTCCCACAATGGGAGAAATCACTAGTTTGATCATACAAGATACTGGATGCAATGGCAGGAGCAACACCCTTGTATCAATCATAACTGGCTTTTGTTATTAATTTGGTTTTTCTTTTGCTGTAGGCACAAGCTGGTGCTGCAGGGGTAGGGAATATGCAGCCATCGTATCCAGTGGGTAAGAAGCTATTAGTTTGCATCCAATCAAGGTATTGAAACAAGTGGCAACAATTTGAGCTGTGGTTCTTGCCTAACTGAGAAGCATCTGTGCCACTCAGTCTGAAGCAATTCAAAGTTTCTAATCAGTGGAGCTCACCACTCAAGTGAAGTCATGTAGTTTCTGTTGCACATGGTTATGACTGTCAGGCTCTTTTCTTTTGTAGTGTTGGTATCCAATTTCCCCTTTTGTAGAAGTATTTTTCTATATTGTACTCCATCCTTTTTAATTCTTAGCTATGTCTTCTTATTGAAAAATAGCAACAGCCTCGACAGTGCCGCATGCAGCACCTCTTCCACAGCTAGCAGTCTCCCCAGTCTCTGTGGCCATGCATAGAAAGGAAGACAGATCACATGCTCACAGCTCACCTGGTTCTCCTGTGGTGTTTACTCAACATCCACCTGTACCAGTTGTAAATGACTCCAGCAGCTCGCATTCACATCACTCCTCGCACCAACAGCTTGCATCTAGCTCCAGTGTAGTGTCATCTAGTCCTCTTTCTCACTCCTCAAACGCGTCAAGTCCAGTACCTGCAGTTCAACCTGCAGTTCCTACTGTCAACTTACAGGCAATAGCAAAATATGTAGATAAAAATCTCACATCTCATTTGTCAGCCTGGCCAACTGAGGTGATGGATAGACAAGTAAGGACTTAAATGTAATGACAGTAACTTGATACAGCTGGAGTTGAAAGCAAATGTGGCAAGCTCTTGGCTAGGCATCAACTTGTTCAATGCATTCATACAAAACTTTGGTTACCGCGTTGATTGCTTGACTTTACCTGTAGGACATGTAAAGGTTGAAACAGCTATTATGTTTTGTACTTCCATGTTGTAATAGGTTTGCTATTTACAAGGTATTGTTGTAGCGTAGGGTGATTCCATGAAATACTGTGTTAGTGAGTCTTAATTGTTCTAATATTTTGTTTTAGTTGCATAAACTATGGGAGGAAACAAGTTCATTTTCAAATGATAGTGACAAAGCTAAAATAGAACAAATGCAGCTACAGTCTGAAGCAGGTTTTATGGAAATGAGACTAGAGACAGCAAGTAGAAGGTGAGAAATATTAAGAACTTGTTCAACCACTGTTAACCCTTTAAATCCTAACATCAGTATGCATAATCTGTATAATCTCCATACTGTTCTCGATGCATTTCCAAAGGTGCAGACAAGGAGCATCTGTCAAACAATCAAGGGCTTGTTTAGTTTTTGATCTTTTCCTATATTCTTGTAACCTTGGTCTTTGATTTAGGGGTGATATTGTAAGGAGAAATTAGATTCTAGTCACTCTTAAGGGTTAATAAGTTTGTCGTATGGTCTTCATTTTTGTGATGGCATTTATATTGTATCAAATCCTGGCGGTTTTTGTCCATGACATGTGTTAAGCTCTTTAATAGCAGGAATCTGCTTTTCTTAGTTTGATTTTCTTTGATATATTGAAGTCATTCACTTTCTATATTGCATACTACATGGGGCATTTTTTTATTATTTTTTAGAGGTAACACCAACTTGCAATAGAATATTTTTGTTTTTCTTTTTATCGCTCTAAAAGCTAACTTTGTTTAACTTAAAAAAAATATATCTGTGATAAAGATACTTCACGGCTGGTAATTGTTTTGTATTTCTATTTCCTGTGCAGAATTTCTTCATTGAAAGGGATGACGAGGACTTTAGAAGCATTACTGGCTGATTCAGAGGCTAAATTCTTGTCCTAGTGAAATAATGAGTCGAGTTCAGTGAGAACTGGACATGATGAAGTCGAGCAAGAGAAAGCAAGCGAGAAATAGTGACAGCACAGATGGTACAGCTGCAATCTTCAAAGACCAAAATGATAGCTATAGTCATACCGCAGGAGCAATGTACAGAGCTGTTGATTAGGAAATCTTAAGGATGTGAACAATCACAACTAAACCCAGTCTTAGGTGACTTGCAGAGTAGTGAAAGATAAATTGGTAGGCTGTTAATACAATTCAAGTTTCTGTTTAATGAGGTAACTCTCTGTGTTGATGTTGAGTATTGGGTAGATATATTGCTTGGCAAAGCCAAGGGTATTTGTTAGGTTGAAACTCACACTCCACAGATCCCTGGTCTTAATTTCATTTTTTTTTTTTTTTTCTGTCCCTCCTCTCCATAGTGAACTTTAAAGCAACAAAACCGTAATGAAAGGTACAAGCCATTGTAAAATATGACACGTAACTGATGACAAAGTAAAGAAATATTTACTTTCTAAATGTCATTTTGAGTATTTGTATGAAACATGCCATCAAATAACCCAATTAATAAAGTGTTTATGGTATGATGTGCGGTGTCTACCATTAATAGTCAGTCTTACGCCGCTGGTATTTGGGAGGAGGGGGATCGCTGGCGCGCCGAAAGAGCCGGACCTGAACGGGAGATTGAGGGCAGCTGAAGATGGGGGTTGATTCGTGGTCTGTGTGGTTCATTCGCATCTTAAGCATTACTATCGAGCTGTAGTATGATTTAATATGAGAAGAAGCTTGTGTTGTCGCAAAGAAACTCGAAAAGCAGAGACGCTATGTGGCATTTGATGGGAAAACGTCGTGGTGTTTTTTAAATCTGAAAGAACCTACTTATTAGAGAAGTCCGCTGGGTTATGGTCTACGCTTTGGCGAACACCCATACTTTTCCTATCAGAGAAACCCGTAATTCGTTGTTGGGGGTCAAGTTTTTAAAGTGCCACTGAGATCAAAATTTTCGTACATCATTTTTTTTCACTTTCGTGTTCAGTGTGACTCCTTCACCTCTGCTGTACAATTGCGGGCTCGGCTGGAGCATGTTTTCTGTAATGGCGGACGATTTTTGGACGACATTGAAGCGGTAAAAATTGGTCATCGAAGGTTTGTTTTAAGTTTTTAATGGCAAAAAGGGTTTTTAATTACCCAATTCAACATTCTTTAAATAATTTAGCCCAAAATAAAATGGTCAATTTTCGTCTCAGGGGTACTTTAAAGGAAACTAAAAAGTAAGAGGATTTCTTTCACCCTGAACCAGCCTTGGTCTACGATGAAACCGATATCAGTCTAGTGCGCCAGCATTCACAGTTGATGTTTTGCCTTCCTTTGTTCCTTTCATGTGCTTTGTTTTCATTAGTTTGTGTTTTCTTCATATGGTCCTGGCCCGTGGTAAAGAAAGGAGAATTTATTACTGAACATCTTTCTTAGACCCACAGAGTTCCCTTGGACTCCTGTATCTTGTGAGCTCGGGGCTACTATTGATAGAAGGTTGCTTTCAGCTACCCGAAAGAACCACCCTGAGCCTTAAATTTAGGTACAGGCGTCTCTCTCTCTCTCTCTCTCTCCGCAATAGTTCCTAGGAAACCAATCCTCTCACGCTGTGTTCTAGAATTGAGCAAAGTCGGAAATTGAGAAAGAAGACCTAATTCCACTTCAACAGAAGAAAAAAACCTTTTTCAGCCCTAGCAATGCCGGATATTTTATTTTTTAATGCCGCCCAAAGTTATAATGATTCTAAAATTATGTATACATACCAGGTAAAAAATCTCGCATTTTAATAACTAAAGCCGAGAGCGCACTTATTAAGAACACTTCGTATTCACAATTAGTACAAACTTAAAGATACTAACTTGAAGTACCGTCACTGTCATCGGGATCAAATTAACTAATTATAGGGAACGCAACGCCTTTCGATTAAGTGTCGCAAAGCCAACACCACAGTAATCAAATCTGCCAATCAGAGGAAAGGGAAAAGTTTTTAAAGCCAAAGCGAACTTAATGTAAAACAACCAAACTGCCTGAAAGGCGGGAAAACGCTGGCGATCAAGTCGTGCTTGGTTTTAGTGTTGTATCTGATTGGTTTAGAGATTGGCGCGAGTTTTCTAGACCAATCATAGAGCGAAGTAAAGCAAAACCAACGCAATCTCAATTCATCATTGGCTATCAGGACTAAGGACTGAAACAAACAAAGATAACGAAGAATTAAGAAGTTCGCTGCTAATTTTCTATTATGTGATCCCGTTAACAGAAGTTACATTATGAACAATTCTGAGTCAAACTACGGCCACACCTTTGGCAACCACGTTCACAAATTAAAGAACGGTCACTACAAGATTAGGTGGGAAAAAACAAATACAGATATAAAACTTTATTATTACACGACTCGGGCAGTCAGAGGGCCAATAACTAAAATCAACCAATCAAAATGCTCTATTGCCGTTCAATATTCTCTCAGTATTGGACCGGGCACTGTCCCGAGTGGTCCCGAATGATACCGCACTTGTGTCCCTTTGAACTTCAGTCGTATAATAAATCTCTAATTAACCAAGCTTGCTCGGGACCGTACTGGAAGAATATCGGCCCTCGGTCTTTTTTGAACGTACCTCGCTGCGCTCGGTCCGTACTGTCAAGACCTCGCGCCGATATTCTCCCAGTAAGGCCCTCGCGCTTGGTTGATAAGATATATGTATTAAACAGCACTCATACATAACGCCTCTATTTCCACATTAAAACTTCTCTTAGTGCAATTACATATTCGTTTCATTCTCGATAAAAGCAACTCCGTCTAAATGTCACTCCCAATTGATAAAATATCTCACGTTGTATCCATTCTCACGTCTACAAAATATTATCTGTAAATGTTCGCTCTTACAAGCAAAATAAAACTAAAAACTACCAAATTACTAACACCCAACCATTCAACGTTTCATTCCTACATTATTTTGTGTGGTCAATAATAATTTTCTACAAGATTACTTAACTTTCCTACAGACAGTTGTTACAAGTCGAGATGTTTTTCCCACACAAAAAAAATTCATTGTTTCTTTGACTGACACAACATCGAAATAGCGATCAATCACCGAGAAAAGGCGAAAATACTGTTTAAGATGTACAACTCGCATTACGTATAACTATCAACAATATTCAGCACCTCTGCTTCCTGCCTTGTAAAAAAGCTCATAATTTGCCAGCTGACTCAGAGATATCGTGGCATCTCCACTCCACTCCTTCGCAGCCAATGTCTGATCTTGTCACGCAACACGCTAGTGAGAGCTCCTTACGAGTGTCACGCAACAAGGTCTTTGTAGAGAGCGTGTGGCCTGACGGAACAAACAGCAGATGCAAAGGAGACTACATTCCCATATAAAGATCAGTTTGCAATCAAGTTTTGTTAACCAGCCCTGCCGGTTGATCAATAAATGTGATATTCACGTAAATACCACTCGCTGCTTTGGTTCCAGACCAAGCAGTTGTGCACACATGCGTGTGTGTGTGTGTGTGTGTGTGTGTCACAAAGTTATTCAACAATTAAACTAATTTCTTATGATATATATTTTTCCACGCCAATGTACACAGGATCAACCAATGACTTGATCAGTAATCTTGAAAAGATCGCTAGCTGCAGAGAAACCAAACGACATATTAGGTAATGTCCCTTTAACACTGTAATCCCTACGAGTGACTAGGACCTAATTTTTCCAAGGGAGGGGTGAGACAGGCATCCTTTAATAATAATAATAATAATAATAATAATAATAATGATAATAATAATAATAATAACAATAATATAATAATAATAATAATAATATTAATAATAACAATAATAATATTAATATTAATAACCAGCATCTTGAGGAGAACGATTTAATGGAGGGTGCGCAGAGGGGGGCACGTGCAGGGTGGAGTGGAACAACAGACAACTTATTGATCGACCGAACAGTTGCGTTGGATTGTCATAGGAGGAGGCGTAATTTAAGCGTGGCCTGGATTGATGTTAAAAAGGCGTACGATTCTGTAGATCATAGTTGGTTGAATGGAGTGATGACGTTACACAGGTTTCCCACATGGTTGTGTAAAGTCATCGCTAAACTGTGTAAGAGCTGGAACACAAAGATAGTGGCGATCACAAGGGAAGGGAGACAGACCTCCGAAAGGATTAAGTTCAACAGAGGGTTACCACAGGGGGATGCATTGTGCCCGAGGCTGTTCACCGTATGCTTGAACCCAGTGGCATGGAAGATCAGAGCCGCTGAAGGATACCGGATGTCCAAACCTATTAACAGCAAGGTTACGGGACTCTTGTATATTGATGATATCAAGATCTTCGCTGCATCGGAGAGTAAGCTTGAACGGGTTATGAAGATGGTTAAGTCATCTATGGAGGATGTGGGGCTTCAGTGGAACCTAAAGAAGTGTGCGGTGGCCCATGTGAAAAGGGGGGTACAAGTGACTGCTTTCTCAGGGGGGAGAGTTGTGGAGTCGACTAGAATACCATGTCTTGATGATGGTGAGCGGTACAAGTTCCTTGGAGTACTTGAGAGTGTTAGGCAGGAGGATAAGTTGGTCCTGGAGTGTGCAGCAAGAGAGTATCTCAGACGATTGTCAGTTATTTGGACAAGTCCCTTGTCCGATTATAATCGGGTGGTAGC